TTTTGAACCCATCACTCTTATATTCTCTAGAGCAGGTCATGTGCAGCTTGAAACCTTCTGGCTCCCCCTTTGATGTGGTCCCCCCTCGACTACTAAAGGAGGTTTTTCTAACTCTAGGTCCGTCCATTCTTGATATAGTAAACAGTAGTTTATCCACTGGCGTGGTGCCAAAATCCTTTAAACATGCTGCCGTCCAGTCTCTCCTGAAAAAAACAAACCTTGACCCCTCAGCCGTTTCCAACTACCGGCCTGTCTCCAATTTCCCATTTGTTTCTAAAGTACTGGAGAAAATAGTCAAGTCCCTGTTGAAGTGCTTCCTGCAGGATCACGCCATCTTAGAGCTTTTCCAATCTGGCTTTAAACCTCTCCACAGCACTGAAACTGCCCTGCTGAAGGTCTTTAACGACATCTTCAGATTCACAGATAACGGTGATTCTGTGCTGCTTGTCTTGTTGGACCTCACAGCCGCCTTTGACACCATCGACCATGAGATCCTCATTGCTAGGTTGGAGCAGTGGGTGGGCGTCACAGGATCAGCCCTCAATTGGTTCAGATCTTACCTCGCTGACAGATCCTTTTGTGTCTCCATCAAGGATTTTAGTTCCGCAGAGCTTAATTGGGGGGTTCCGCAGGGGTCCATCCTGGGTCCCCTCCTATTCTCTTTATACCTACTGCCGCTTGGTGCTATTTTCCGGAAACACAACATGCCCTTCCATTTCTATGCCGATGACTGTCAAATTTACTTCCCCCTAAGACTCAATGGTACATGCTCTATTCAACCACTGCTCAACTGCCTGGCTGACATCAGGGACTGGATGGCTTTAAATTTCTTGAGTTTCAATGAAAATAAGTCTGAAGTCATGTTGTTCCCTCCCAACAACACGATCACAAACCACCGTATTGACCTCTCCACTCTAACCCTGTCAGAAAAACAAAGAGTCACTAATCTGGGCGTGATAATGGACCCTTCCCTGAAGCTTAACAATCATGTAAACATGATTGTTAAATCATGCTTCTTCCAACTGAGGCGGCTGTCTAAACTGAAGCCCATATTGTCCAAAAATAACCTGGAGACAGTAATACATGCATTCATTACATCTAGGCTTGATTACTGCAATTCGCTCCTATTTGGTATCAGTCAGACCTCCATTGCACAACTACAACTGGTCCAGAATGCAGCAGCTAAATTTTTAACCAGTACAGGCAAAAGAGAGCACATTACACCAGTTTTGGCCTCACTGCACTGGTTACCGGTTCACTTTCGAAT